TCTTCTTCTTCTTCTTCTTCTTCTTCTTCTTCTTCTTCTTCTTCTTCTTCTTCTTCTTTTTCGAGACAGAGTTTCTCTGTACAGCCCTGGCTGTCCTGGACCAGGCTGGCCTCGAACTCAGAAATCCACCTGCCTCTGCCTTCCAAGTGCTGGGATTAAAGGCGTGCACCACCACTGCCAGGCTAAGTTGCTGTCTTCTAAGGCCACACACAGCATGAAAACTGGAAGGACTGCAAGAACTGATTCAATACCAGAACCAATTTCCAGTGCTTTTCCAGGATGCAGATCCAATTTTATTATAACATTCATCTATGTAAAAGTAGATTTTACTCTCCTGTTTTAATTGTCATCTCGGCAGCGTACTGCTGAATGAGCTCACCCCTTTCAGTTCTCTCTGAACTCTGGCTGGCTGGTTCAACTCAGCTGTTCTGGCTCAAACTCCTCTCCATGCTGACCAATTCAAACTGGCTTCTCTTAGCATCTGACTGAATTGCTCTGCCTGACCTCAAATCAACTCTAGCAGTCTATTCTAATCTTCTGGTTCCTCATTCTCTGGCTCATTCTGTCTTCACCTGTGTCTACCTTGTTCTCTCTTCAACCTGTCTCTGTAAAACTCTCCCAGGAAAACTGCCTTCTCTGACTGAACCAAATTCAATTGACCTCTACTCACTGAACTGCCCTCTCTTTCCTGTCTGTTCTCATGAGAGTTGGGCGTATCTTCTCTCTGACTCTGACTCTGATTTGTCACTTTATCTGCCCCTCAATTAGATATCACTTTCAAATGTGACTGCTTCCTTCTACAAACCAACCTTACTTACATTGTTTGGGATTAAAGATGTTTAATAAACGTGTGCCTGTATTTCAGGCCGAGTAGCCATGTTGCTGGATTAAAATTCCTCCACACATCTACTCATTATTAAAAGGATTTTAGTAAATGTGAAAAGTCTGACTTCACAAGGAGTATCTCAGTGGACAGAGAAGGTCATCTCCTCCATAGAGAAAACTAACACTGCACAAGGAAACGCAGGACCAAGCCCTGCTCTCTAGAAGGACATGGGTGAGGAGCAGTAAGGAGTTCTGCAGAATTTCGTTACCAGCTTCCTGGAAGAGTGGGTGGGGTCTACCTTGGAGAAACTCCTATTAAGATCTGGATGATTTGCATAAATCTGTAATCATGAGGACTTCTCTGCTCTGGTTTTATTATATATAAATGAACTGCTCACAAGAAGAATGAGAAAGATTCACTCTTCTTGCCCCCCACATTCCTAGGGTTTCTGTCTGGCAATGTCTCCCCTGTGCATGCAGCAAAGTCTCCCAGCAGCCAGAGGTGTCTTGTGGGCCCCCTATGTAGCCTTATCCAGTTAATCTCATCCATCTGTTTGGCTCTGGAAAGATTCCTATATGGCTCAGAGAGAGCCAACGTTTTTGTTTTGTACTCAGGGTCAAAAGCTTCTGGCTAAGTTTTCTGGAACTCAGGTAAGAAGCCATGCCTGATTCCTTGATGACTTCCAAAAGGCTAGTACCTGGCTTTAAAGAAAGTGGGTGAGGGGTGGTGGAGTGAGGACTCATTTTGAAATGAAAGAAGTCCTGGGTCTCTAAGCAGCTTCTAAAAATACCATCTCCCAGCTCTGGGGGGAGGGGGAGGGGAAGCTGATCGTGGGGAGAATGAAAAGAGGAGAAAAGTAGGAGATACAAGAATCTTTCTTCAGGTGGGTCTTACTTCAGAGACACTGCCTATCCCAAGGAACTAGACAGAGGTCACACCTCCTTTTGCTTCCTCAGAAGGCTTCAGTCTCCCAATGTCTCAGCCCAGCCCTTCCTGACATCCTTTCTTCCCAGAGGCAAAGGAAACCAATTCCTCCATCCACTCTCCATTACCACTGTCCAACAACTGTACCTGGAGTAAGTTCTTTTGGGCACACACACACACACACACACACACATGCACACACACATGGGGAGTTGGGGGAGAGAGAAAGAGAGAGAGAGAGAGAGAGAGAGAGAGAGAGAGAGAGAGAGCACAAGAGTGCCTTGTGAATGACCAGTGATCTATGATGCCATGAATTCCATTTATATCCGGTGTCCAGAGGTGTGGGATGTGGCAGAGACAAGTGACTCGCCCAGGTATCCTCTGCACAGAGCATGGTACCCAGCAAGTGTTAGCTGGAGGGGTGAGGAGTATATGTCTAAGCAAAATGTACAGGTGCTGGACCCCACAACGCATGTGTAGCTCACACTCCAAGCTTTTCTAGCTGTTGTAGTACCTAAAGGGAGAGGGGCTTCGCCCCCACCCCCGACCCTGTAAAAAGCCACAAGGTGGATGGAGCTTCCTCCCCTCAAGTTCAGCTCAAACGGTGAAGCTCAGCTGCTTCCTCCGTTCTAGAGGGCCCCAGCCCTCACCACCCCACCAAATGGTTAAACCTTCAGCTCACAATGTGACCTTCATTAAATAGAGGTCGTGTCGTGTCCCACATTTCCTTGCGGCTTCTTCAGCTCCAGCTGAACTCTTCGAGGACTGCTCCGCCTCCTTCACAGGAACCTCACATTCCAGGTGCTGCATTTCTCATCATTCTCCTGGGGTGCTGAGAGGAGAACCCCAGCCTGAACATACTGTGGGCAGAGGTTGTGGGGTATGCTGCTTGTGTGTCTGGACAGCAGAAGCAAGAACCTGAGGAGCGGATTATTGGTGCAAAATCTGCCACTGCCCGCATCTCAGCGTCCACATGGTTTTTCAGCCTGGGAAGCGGTGCTGGTAGGGTGGGACCCTGTCCCTGTCTCCGATCTGACTCTTCCCAAGCAGCTTCTGGAATCGGCCAGTGTGTGTGTGTGTGTGTGTGTGTGTGTGTGTGTGACGAGGGCGGGAGAAAAAGGAGGAGGGATCGAACCATGCAACACTGGGAGCCGCAAACACAGGAAGAGGCTAAGGGCTGGGAGACACCAGAGCTCCCTAGGGTTTGAGGTCAGGATATCAGGCTCGGAAACCCCCTGCAAGTCCTGGGAACAAGGGTGCTCCCAAGGCTAGCTAAGAGGCTGCAAGTGTCACTGCTTCCCCGCGGACCGCCCCTCCGTAAGCCACGCCCACAGCGCCTACTTGTCAGGATTCAGATAGCTAAGGTTTAAGGGTCTCTAGTCCACCGACGCCAGCTTGTCTCGCTCTCCAGCAACCCTGCTAACGCTCAGAGCTGCCCTACCCCCACGGTTTGGAGATCTGCGGGACCCCTTGGTTTCCCCCTCCAGCTGGGCGTTCCGCCCCTGGCCTATGAAACTCCACCTCCTCATCCTTTGCTGACCCGGATTGGTGGACCTCCCGCGGCGATGCCTAGCGATTGGTCCCTATGGATGATGGTGACCAGCGAGACTCCGCCCCAGCCGGCGCTGGGGTCTGGGGGCACTGCTCAGCGGTGCTGGGCTGGCGAGGCTGGAGCCGCCGCCGCACTGACAGCTCCGTCTGTGGATCATGGAGACTGGCGCCGGTCCACACCCGCTGCGCCTGTTCGTCTGCCTGATGCCACTCTGCCTCGCTCTGCTTCTGGGACCCGGGCGGCCCGGGACCGCCGAAGAAGGTAAGGTGTGTTGTGCCTGGGAACCTGAAATGCCAAAAATTAGCGAGTTGGGGAGGGGGGCTAGAAGACTGGAGTAAGGATTCGTTGGAGAGACTACTCTGTGTTGGGGCTTGGAGCAAGCGGGCAGCAGGGCGGGAAAGAACTAGAGAAAGAGGGGAGGTTGGGCTAAGCGATAGAGAAGAGAGGGGTATTGAGGAGCTTAGGTCTGGAGATCTAGGAGGCTGGGGAAGAAAGAGGCTGGGGTCCACAGGAGCCCGAGGCAGGTTCAGAGGCCGGTGAGACGGACAGGCTGAGTGATTGGAGGTGGGAGGTGTGGGGGTGGGGAGATGGAGGGAGCAGGGAAGCCGAGGGGATGCGGCGAGTCCAGAGCAGGAGGCGGGATGGAGACGAATAGTAGGGGCCTGTGGGATATCGCAGTGTGGACCACCGGAGGCTGGCTGCTAATCCGGCGGGCCGAGTCCGGGCGCTGCTTGAGGTGCTGCCCGTGGAACTGTCCGCAGTGCTGAATCGAGATCGAGTCCACCGCGCGCGATCCGCGTTGCGGAGAATTTGGGTCTGTCAGCGACATCAGTGCTGGAGTCTTGCCTATGCTCCCATACCTCTTGGAGCTGTACGTTCAGTTGAATCCAGACGCGTCACAACCAGGTGCAGAACCTGAGATGCTGGAACAGACTCTGCCCGCAAGATCTGTCCTGGCGCGGGGTGGCAGATGCCTGCCAGTATGCAATTCCCAAGCACGGTCGGTGACGAAAACCCAGCACACTGTCAGCAGCCCTGCCCACCGTCGCGGCTGCCTCGAGAGTCAGTCTCTTGGAGGCTCTCACCTTGGAAGCTCACTCCCCTTCCTTACCACTCTAGGGAAGTAATTTTCTGAGATTTGGGGGTGGTCTGGCTTCCTGTCTCTAAGCTGAAGGCTCTGCTCTTCAGACCCAGGCTTCTCTGAGCCCATCTGATGAAAGAATGCAGGCTGCTGCTATGTCACATCCCGAGGGAATAAAGTGGCTCCAAGCTTTTCTGGTAGAGGGGGTGGAGAGGGTCATGGATTATGTGTGAAAGGGCCCATGACATTCTTTCAAAGGCAATAGAAGTGGCAGGCCCTGGGAAAGGGGCAGAGAAGCAGAGAATCCCGATATTTCCTGTTGCTAAGTAGTCTTTCCACTTCATTTTCACAAATGAAAAAGGTATTGGCCTCCTCCATGACCTCAGATCTGAGTGGATTTGGGGTGCACTCAAGAATTCCCAGATCCACCCATTCCCTCCTGCTTTGACAGTTAAATATAACTTGGGGAATTTTCAGAGGGTGGAGGGGGTCATTGGCTTCTATCCCTAATGTGAATGCTGACCTTAGAGCATGTGCCATGGACTCACTGGAAGGCTGATAATGGGACTTGCTTCAAGAAGAGAAAGAAAGAAAGAAAGAAAGAAAGAAAGAAAGAAAGAAAGAAAGAAAGAAAGAAAGAAAGAAAGAAAGAAAG